ATTTAATATGTAAATTAAAACAGTAGCATTTTGTTAACATATCAAACAATGAAACAATTGGCTTTGTCACAAGTTTTTTCAAAAATTTTTACGTGGTTGTCACCTTAACCTTGAATTATTTAAGTTTGAACATATTTTGAAGAAATCAAAATTTATCTACAGATAGCTGAAAACTGTTTTAGGAGTATCATTATATTTTTACTATCAATTTACCGTTATCTCCATTTTGAAAAATGTCCAAAAAAATACTTTCTCTTTAATCAAAATGACAAAACAAGATCAGAGTTTATGCGCATTTTTTCTTAATAATGCTTTAAAAAATTTCAACTACTATAAAACTCTATACATTTTTAAATTTTCTTTTATAACGTTACTCTCAATAATCTTAATTGTGTTAAATCGCCCACGATATCAATTTTATTGATATCCAACAATAAAATTTTGCTCTATTTTCAGAGAATGATTCACCTTACAGACTTAATCAGGACAAAATGATATCGTATTAAACTGTTTTTTCTGTTAAAAATAAGGAAAAGCCTTTTTGAAAATATCTAGTTTGTTCTTCCTTCATACAACAAAATAACAAATATTTTTGTTGAAAACTATTTCTTTTTGAAACTTACAATAAAATTAAGGAATAACAAAGGCAGTCCTAAAAACCAATTAGATTCATTTATTCAGTATAGAATTTCCTTAGAAAGGACGCTAACTAATTATGATTAAATGGGAGAGAATATTTCTCATAGCTAAACTGATTATTCTAAATTTTATGCCTGAGTAAAGAATTTTTTGCAACATGAAAAAATTTATTGGCTTTTTACAATGGGGTAAAACTGAGAAATAATGTTAATAAATAAATAAACTCCCTTTATTCATTTTCTTAATTTTTATATATTTGTAATAACAGTAAATTAATTTTATAAAGTCAACATCAAGTATACATGTTGGTTAATTTTTTTTACACAATACATCATTCTCTGTCTTTCTCTGTCTACTTCTATCCTTCATCTTTCTTCTTCCCCCTCTCTCTCTCTCTCTCTTTCTCTGTCTCACCCTTTCTTCTTTAGATACTGTTCCTTTGTACAGCATACACTATAAAACGCACACTATAGCTTGATTATAGAAATTGAATAATACGATAGAAACTTGTATTGGAAAATCGACTATATCGTAAAGAAAATGTAAAAATTACTTTCAATAATGAAAAGATTCACCTGAAAATATTTTTTTTTCATGTTTTATATCAAGCGCTAGTAATGTATTTGAAATTTCAGTTTTGAACGTTTTTAACATATTCTACATTTTGCTAAAATTAAAAAGAATGTATATTATAAAAATATGACAGTGGTTTTCAAACAGATGTTTTAGTGCATATTAGTAATTGAAGACTTTATATTTCATTTATACTTTACTCCTAAACAGTTTCATACAGTATATTACATTTATTTCAATTATTGATAACAGAATAAATATGTTGTGAAAAAACAGAATATGACTAACAAAGAGAACACATCCACTTCCTTAAATCAATGCCATTGCATGTTGAGGATTCATTTTATATTGCCTTTTTGTTGGACTTCTTTGCACTTTTGCAGCCTTTTAATAGTGAAGAGAAATGTAAATAGTTTGGGTCAGCAATACTCATTTTTTCCCTGCTGAATATTCTATATTCGTTTCTTTTGAGTTTAGTAAATTTTCACTCAAATGAGTGACAAATAAGAGTCTTTTGATAAAAAAAAAGAGTTAAGAATGTTGAGTTGCTAATAGATTGAAGCTGCAGTATTTTTCTGAGAAAAATTAAACATCGCTCGGGAATTAAATTTTCAATTTAATTGTGATAAATTTTAATTTAGGATTCACACTCTAACTAAAAATCCAGATGTTATAACTTAAAGTCTTATTTTACCTTTAAAATGGACTATGAGCTCACTCATTAGTTCAACTTGAAAATAAAACTATTATTCAATTTCTAAAAGATAAAACTTTTATAAAATTTTGGCCATTGGTCACTAATTATAGAGAGTTACAACGGCTATTTCGATTTGTCTCGAAATATCGCTATTCATTAAAATGGTACATTATAGTTGTATTTTTAGGCCTTATCAACTAGATGTCGTTAGTATTTGAGAGAAAAAAATATTTACGTTTATATTATATGAAAAGATTTTTCTAATATCAAGTAAAATATTAAAGTGAGGCATTTAAATTTGTAGCATTCCCAGGTTGTTTCAACTTCTATGTGTAAGGATAAAGTGATTTATAACACAAGGTGATACTTTTTTGATATTATATGGATTGTAGGGCCAAGGTCATTTTCTTAAATATTTTTAATGAATAGGTATGGTTATTAAAATTAATTAATGCATATCAACGGCAATTACCAATAGTAATTATTACATAAATTTCTAAATATACTTTTATATCTATATTTTTCTATAGAAACCAATATAAACATATTACTAGCTCGATAAACGAGTGACGCTAGGATATTTCAGGAGAGATTTATCGATAAATCATTCTCCAGCCTATCAATTAAATTAAAGGAATTGCAATCTAAAAGAACGTTAAAATATGAGATACAACAATAAAATATTAAACAATTGTCTTAGAAAAAAATAAAGATTGAATAAAGATTAAAAGTATTTTTATATCTTTATAGATAAACTTAAACAAGCATTATTAAACTGAAATTAATAATTTCTTAAATTAATATATTAAACAATACACTCTTTAGATATTAACCCGAGGAATAGTTATCTGAAGTATTTATTACATGTACAAAGAGGCGGATAATAATATCATGTAAAATTCAAGGTCATTAATTTAAGGCTCTTTCACATATATCTATAATAGAAGAAAAGCAAGCTGCTTTTCAGAGGCAGATGTGTCTTTTCTTCTATCATTTTTATCAAACGATCAAGAAGAGAAATATAAAAAAGAGGAAATTTTTGTACTGAAACAATCCAAAGAGAATTAAATAGAAAATTAAAATATCTTGATTGATAGCAATAAACATATTATTCCTAATGCACCTTTGGGAAATTTACTGTATAAACATTTTACGTATAATATATGTATGCCATTCCCAATAAAAAGAAATCATCTTTATAGTTATAATTTAAAGACTAGAATATGTATGTAATTCTTTCTTTTAAATTACTTTTTTCATGAAATATTTACAATATCTTGGAATATTTTTGGGTTAGTGAAACAATATCGAATAATTGTAAACAACTACTATTCTTAATAGATTATTTAATTTAATTAAGAAATTTTTATGATTTTTATTCTATGCTTTACATTTTAAAGGTGAAAATTCCAGTTCTTTTTTATTTATTTCAATATTTTTTTGTTCATTAAAGAAAAAGAAGAGAAAATTTTTAAATGATTTATATTTAGTCAATGCTTCTTGTTATTTTATATTTCATTTTCTAGCACCTGTTGGCTAATTAATACTAACAATGAAAGGAATTATACTTTGTTTGTGTGATGAAGTAATACTAATAAAAAAATTTTAATTAATAGTCCAGTAATGAATGAAATTTAATTGTAAACTAGAACAAAAAAAAAACACTGCGCGGTTAGCTACAGTCAGCAAATTATAGAAAAAAAAGGAAAATTTGCCTGATAAGGCTTCATTACAGACATTTACTTAGATGTATTTTTAATCATATTTAAATCTTTTTATGATCCATAAGAACTAGTTTACATCTTGTTGAAGATTTTAAAAAATCTTTCTTGATGTTATCTTTATAGAGGAAACGTGGTATCGTCTTCCGTATGAAAGCTAACCAATCGGCCCACTGAAACGGAGCTGTTACCCGACTGTTCAACTCTAGCATGTGTGCTTAGTTATAGATTGGAAGATATCAACGTGGCCTTTATAAACACAAGCATCTTATTTTTTGTTCAGGTATGAATTACTGCTCGAATATTTTGTCCCAAATAAGTTTTTAATTGTAACCATTAATGTTTACTATTTTTTTATAACTCCTTTTCCTTACTAAAAACTTTTAATGAGAATTATGATAAACGTTAAAAGCCTTTTGTGTACGCTTTTTTTTGTCTCTCTTGAACTGTTGTATATATATAGATATCTGTATAGATATATATATAAATTTATATATATATATATATATATTTATCATAGAGATATCTATACGTATATATGTGTATACATATATATATATATATATAGATACATAAATTTACGGTTGAATCACTACAATTTGAAAAAAAATTGCTCTTACAGGTTGTGTTGAATAAATAAAGCAGTAGCATTACAACCTTTTACTCTAAACTAGCCGTGACCTAGTTAAAAGCGAATCATATATACGGTGCTCTGCCAACAGCATATAGTTATATCTAATGCAGGAAATACACGGTCATACTGGCCTTGTGTATTCTATTGTACTGCATTCTTTGATTGCTTTATTTGCCTGTTTTTGGGACGCAAAGCTCAATTATTGACTTTCTGCAACGCTTCTTAAACCTCTTGTTGTTTTTTTTATTACATCAGCGCGCTACTATAAGTCTTAGAAAAATACATAAATGAATAGGTAACATAGAACTAATTCCATGTGAGATTTATATAGCTTATATTTTAAACAAAGACGTAGAACCCGTATAATTTTCAACGAGATAAAACCTATGTTAAGCAGTCAATCTTTATATATAATAGTAATAAAACAGCAGCTTTCAACTGAGAAAATCCTATAGAAAATATCATAATTTCCCCTTTATTCAACTGTAGCGTAAGAGGAGTGTACCTCTTTCGGAAAACAGCTATCATATATATTTTATAAATAAGAGCAAAGCATTTAAATATAACGTTGCAACAGCCTAACCAATACCTTTTAAACTCTAGTGCTATTAATTTTTTCCACAGAAAATAAACTCTCTTTATCTGACAAATAGCTTTGCGTTAGTTGATTGCTGAACTAAAAATAAGCCGATAAAATCTTATCGGTAAGGCCTTTGTTAAACTTGTCGCAGGCATTCATTTTGATTTTGAATGTTGGATATTTAACATGTTACGTCAACACTTGGTTGACAGATGTTATTTATGAAAAAATTTCCTCAGATTTCTACATCTGTAGTATTTTTATTCTCTTTGTTACCAACCGTCCAATTAATTTTATGTTTTACCCTTAATTAGGTTGATTTATCTCCTATTGTACTTATGGAGGATATCACCGAATTCGAGAGCGATATCAATAACAATATGAATCGTAGAAAAGGAAGAAAAATTCAAAAATTTTCAAAAAATCTCTTACAACTGACAATGAAGAATCTACATAAAATATGTAATACTAAAGTTTGTCTTCGAAGACTAACAGATGATGAGATAAAAAAATGGCAGTCTAAAAGGATTATAAATACTGCTGTAACTTCTTCAACTAATACTTCTACTCATTCTAATAAGGATTATATTGAAAACAGCGGTGATAAAACCAATAAGACAATGGATTATTGTATCAGTAGTGATTTTTTCAACAGTAAATCAGTAACTGGAACACGCTTTCAGAAAGCTAAAACGCAGAAAATTAAAACTGCTTTTATTAAGGCTTATCAAGATGAAATGAAGGAAAACGAAATCAAATTGGAAACACCTCCAAAATCGCCTAATGAACAGAACACCTTCATTACTGAGGGTGGACCCCTATTTCTTCCTAAGACATTGACATTTTCTGATAAACATGAAGAGTTAAAATCAGAAGATGATTACAGTGGGAATATGTTCACTTCATGTCTTACACCTGCTGAAACAGAAGACAGTGTAAACGAAAACGAGACTGGTGATAGTGATGAGTCATGCGAACGAAGGGATACTGAACAAAATCAATCAATTTTAACAAGAGTCAAATGTGATGAGTGTAAACTGGTTGCTAAAAATACAGAAATGCTTATGGTTCATAAAAAAATCATGCATAATCTGATGCGAAGGCCAGTTGAAAAAGCTGGTGTTATAGCACCTCTAATTCAAAATGTGTCTCAAATCCCTAATGGGGAAAAGAAGGTGTCAGACACAATGCCAACTGTGGAATCACACAACGAATTAAATGTGAAATGTAATGATGAGCTTGCAGCCCCAACAACACGAATTTTGAAAGGAAAATCGTGTAAATCTTTCCAAAGGTAGGTTTTAAAGGCAAAATCAAATTCTTCATCTTAAAAACATTTGCAAACATTCATGTTTATACATAAATATTCTTCAAAGGCTAATGAGTTTCACTTTAAACAACCACTGATAAAACAATAGCAATAGGAATAACTATTGAAAAACCGGATCGAAATAGTATTGAAAATAATATGAAAAAGACATTGCTATTTTATTATTTCACATGGCAATGAATAACAATTATTACCGTGAATTAATCCTAAAATTCGCCCTTTTAATAGTATATTATCGTTTCTTTTCGAATTTCCCACTAACAAACTGTTATAAAATCGATTGTTAATTCAGTTTTGTAGCAAAGAATCAGTTTTTTTTTTTAAACTTAATGCATTTATAATTACAAGAAAAATCTGGATAGTCTAGTCCTATATGTGAAATAATTAGTAACTCTATGCGCTCCTAAAACAGAGGATGATTCATTGATACTAATCACGGATATTTATTATATTACTTCATCATTAGTTTAAACAATATTAAGATAATTTCATGATGAAAATAAAATTTTTACTCTATTATTTATTATTTTATCATTTTTTCACAGCTCATATCGCAGAAGACGAGTCAGGGCCATGCACCTTGAGTGTGCTCTCTGTGGCTATACATCATTAAAACACCATCATTTAAACGATCATTTGAACAAGCACATCAAATTCTACGCATATTCGTGTTCAAAATGCCCTCATCAATCTTATACAACAGATGCTATGCGAAAGCATATAAGAGTTCATCATTCCAAGGATACTACTTATGAATCAAGAAAACTAAAAGAGTTGAAAAAATTGTTTAAGAAAAAATTTGGTTATGTCCATAGTCAAACACGTCTTGTGGTTCAACCATTACCAATGGCAGATGAACAAATATCTCTGAAGTATCCAGTTCATTTATTATCCAAGTCACATTTGAAATCCCTCAGTTTTAATTCTATGGCATTTGGTAATGACAGTCATGAAACTGTTAGTAATAGGCACGTAAAATCTTTGAACCAGTCAACAACAACAGCAACAACAAATGTGTCCATTCTTCCAGAAATATCAAACAATGACTCCTCAACAATTTCAAAAGATCAAACTACTTCAAATTATTCCATTACACAGAATATAAGTGATTGCAAAATTACCAGCAATGGAAGTAAATTGAAAGAAATTGTAAAAATTCAATTGAAAGATGAACTCTCCAAAGCAACTTGTAGTAATGTCGATGTTATCTTAAGGAGAATAGCCAGCGAAGACGTCAAAAATATAATATTTACTTGCAAGCATTGCAACTATCGTACTCAACTGACTGATGACTTACAAAATCACTTTCTCAATAATCATGCTTCAATTGCAAATACTTTATTAAAAAGATTGGTTTGTAATTCTTGTGGTCAGATTTTTAATTCCAGATATCATATGACGAAGCATTTGGAAAAAATTCATCAAAATAAGCCTAAAAGTTTCCAAAAAGTTGCTCTAAAGTTGATTGATCATTGGGATTATAACTTTGACTAAAACTTTCCTATTGCATAAATACTGACTATATATATGCACAGTAGATAGTTTATTTAATTGAAATGTAAAATCATTCTTTTTTTACAATTTACATTAGTTTGCTATATCTAGTTCACTATATGTACTGTATATATATACTGTATATAAATTTATATATATATATATATATATATATATATATATATAAACTATTCAAATTATTTAAAACATTTTATGTATAAAATGAAATTTATCATCCTAAATTTCGTGCCAAAAACGAATCACACGAACAAAAATTCCCATTATTCATTTTGAGTCACGAATAAACATGTTCTATAATTTGAACAATTTAGGAAAATCTATACAGCAAAACTAAATTTCAACCTCGCTATGTTTAAATAGGTTATAACATTATTTAAAATTCATCTGAAATATAATGTAATGGCTTTGTAATTTCAGCCAATAATTGAAAATTTTTCCCTTCTTTAATTTCTTTGTCTATCCCTCGCCCTGAGAGTCTTTGGCAGTCTCTATACATGGCTTTATAGTCTTAATTGATTTTAATAATTTAAAAACCAAAACAAATTTCTAGTTAACTTTTTGTAAATAGACATTCCTATAAGCTATATTAAATTTATTGATTTTTCGAAAGAAGCTTTTCAATATTTTAGTGAATGTTTGCATTTATTGATTTTTGCAAAATTTTTACAAAATTTCCGAACATGTACCTGAAAATGAAATATGATCATTTCAAAAACATGTATTTTACATTACATCTATATACTAGTGCATAAATAATCAATTTACATCTTTCTGCGGCCTTTTTTTGATTTGAGATTTAAAGATCTTTCTATTTTTTCACTTCAGTATTGTAAACTTCTTTTTTATTACTTTATGTGAAACAAATAACAAATCATTTATAGTGTGAAAATTTTCCTCTCTTGTTTATTAATATTCCATATTAATAAAGGAAATAGGTCACATTTTTACCGCGAATATCCTTTTGATAAATCGACAAATGGTGAGCAGCAGCAGATTGCATTTACTAAATAGAAGGACGAACAGATCAATAATAATTCTGAGGAAACGACTGATCCTTATTATAAGTAAAAGTCGCTTAATTTTTCAATAACATTTATTGGAAGTTAAAAAAAAAAGAAACCTTTACTTTTTCATTAATTTTATCTTTATTACGTAGGAAATATACAATTAGCTTTATCTCATTTCTCCTATAGGTGAAGCATTTTATAAAAATAGAACTGAAGATAAGTGACAAAAAAATTCGCAATATTTGTAACTATATCTTGCAATTCGTATATATATATATATATATATATATTTTATTTCTGATTCGATAAAATTCTTGGTTCGATACTATTGCTATATAGATTTCTTTTATACAAAACCATCAGTGATATTTGCATCGAGTCCGATTTACTTGTTTGTATTTACATTGATATTCAAAATCTTGTGAATTGGGAATAGAAAACGCTCATGATGATATTAAATAATCTAATATTTCATATCTTGTTATTAATACAACAGTGTCTATATGACAAAGAAGTTATAATATGTGTAATCTTTTTGTATTGATAATTAACTCGGAGTATTTAGGGTAATCAATTTTATAGAATTATAAATTTTTTGTTTGGAGTGTGTTTGACAGTCTTTTATTAAATTCAGCTAAATCTTCCTATTGGATTGTTGAAAAAAGACAAAAGTTCAGATTCTTCAGATTCTCTACTATTCTATATGATGAAAAAAATACAAAAAGATTAAATAAATAAGTATTAATTTTGTTAGTACTCCAATGCTCATTACATTATCTAGAGGCTGAATCTCTCTTTTAATAGACTGAAGAGCAGATCAAGCCTATGTAATACATTCATTACATATTTTATATATTCGTTATTTCATAATAGGCTTACTTTAAATCGAAATAAGCCAAAGGCTATACAATTAAATAATGTATAAAATTTGTAGTATGCTAATAAATTGGTAGTAATTATTGAGAGCAGCACATGATAGTTTAATTTTCAAATAACATTTAAAAAAGATTTTTAAGTGATATCTATTAGGTTCCTACTGGGTTATAAAAAAGAGTTTCTAATCTATCAATATACAGTATATATATATATATATATATATATATATTCTGATATATAAAAGGAAAGCAAGAAGGCACACAAAATATTGATTTTGCTTTTGACGATAGAGAAATGTTTTATGTGATCTAGATTCTCTCTGATACTTATTTACTTTTTCATATATTATTGTCTTTAATTTACGATGTTTTACTCTTTTATCCAATAAATATTGTTTTCATTTGTGGTAGTAGACTTAAGAGCCTATTCTGGCTTTGTTTCTCATTATTACACATAGTATGTACAATTATATGCCCTTATTTATCATACTTTAAAAATTCTTTAGCTAATTGTATTATTCCATTAATCTTTATGAAAAAAAGCTAATTACACATTGTTTTGTAAACATAGTAAATTTCATTGAAACTTGGCATTTAAAAGCATTACTCTTTTTATATTTTCAACCCTTTGTATGACATGGGAAAATGGTAATTTTAAAAAAAAAATTTCATTAAAAAACTTTTTCAAGTACATTTTAAGAAAATTGAGTCAAACTTTGAAAGAACTGGTTTTCAATATGATTTAGCCTGTTTTTATTTGCTAGTGTCAAAACATATTGTATTACTTCTTTTATAATCTAGGAATATGTAAGGCCTATCTTGAGCCATATAAATAGACCATATATAAATAGTACACTTTTTAACAATTGTCAAAATAATTTCTTCCGATTTAAAAAATCGCTAACCCTAAGACAACTTTTTCTTGTGCAAATATGAGAGTAGCTAATACATAAAATCATATTCCCTTAAGAGCAAATAAGCTTCCTCTCTCTCTTATAAGTTGCTAAGCCTGTAATATGTACTTTTTTTAATGTTGATTGCTTTACGATTTTAACTATACAGTCAACAATTTTTTTAACGTAATCGAATTCCTTTCGGTACTTTGTTATTTGGCTAGCGCTCCAAAGTATTCTAAACACAATTCCTTTGTTATATTTTTAATAGTGAATTTCGTACCATGCGCTTTTTCCTCGATAGAAATTGAATGAAATATCGCAAAAGTATTTAGGATATATTTAAATAAGAGTATACAATTCTCTATAAGGTGATTGGTATCATTAGCAGCTCTTTTTGGATAAATTACACCATCACATCAAATTTTCTTACTATATTCTCAAGTAGAGTACAAGACTGAATGTATATTTTCATACTTGTTAAATTAAAAGACTTTTACTTCTCATATTTCAAATATATGAAATATCCAATAACAGATCTAAATAGCAATTTACTTTTATAAAAAAACCTATCTTTCAGATTTATATATAGGATGTCTTGCTGAAATATTCCAGAAGCTAAGCATAGCAAATTATGAAATTTTCAATTTCATTCAAAATAATCTTTATCTAATTCTATTAAATTAATCAAATAATTCCAGCAGTATTTTATGATTCCGCAATTTATAGAATTATTTTCAATAGTCTGTAATAGTAATTTAGAGAGAAATAGATGCAAAGATGAAGAAAGAGGTTTTCATTTATGTGTTGGTAGATTTCATTCTTTCAACTTTATTTTATCTAAAACTGGTTTGTATTTTTGTAATCAAGCTCTCAAGACGGGTTTTCGAAACACAACAATAAAAACCTCTATTTTGAAAAATATATCATATTTGATATAAAGCATCAAAGAATCTTGAGTTGAATTAGTGTTAAATCTATAGAAAACAGATGATTTAAAAATAACTCTGATCTACTTTGGTAGAAAATGGAATATAAACATGTTTCCTAATTTCTAAATTCAATAAAATGTTACATTTCATATATGTAAAATTCAGGTGTGCTGTAGCACATCTGTGATTGTGAGAAATATGTTCTATTTATATAACAAATTTATCATTAATGTTTTCTTTCTTCAAAACTAGACAAATATTTTCAAACATAATCGTTAATAATTAATTGGTAATATGAAAGGAATAGGAAAAAAATATGCCTTTCTTCATCAAATACAAAAGGGTTTTTTTTCATTGTATTGTATAAATTAAAAAAATAGCAGAGAATATATTATAAAAATTTCTATTGAATAAAAATATATTCCTGCATAATAGGCTTATGTTGGTACAATAAATACAGTTGCTGGGCGGTATGGTTGTTTAGTCTGATATTCTAATATGACTAATAAATATTTCATGAGGCCTATCCTAGATTTTTAGATTTTCAGCACTTTATTTAAGATAGAAATATATGTTATCGTTTTAGTGTATTTTCAATCATTCCTTACGTTTTAACCTTTACAAATATAATACAAGTTTCCTCAAATTTCTTATTAATATATATTTTTTCTGTAATAACCGGCTTGAGAGAAAAAGCAATTAAGAACGTACTTAAATCAGAATTATACCCTAAGGGACTTTCTCTAATTAGTATGATGATATTAAAAAGATTATACAATTGATGCTGTCAACCTATTATTGAATGTTATTCTATTAAAAATTTTATCTTGATTACTTGAAGCTATAAATTACATAGTATATCGTCTTAGTGAAACTTGCTTATCTTTATCTTTTCTACGTAGGTACAAAATTACAGCACTTTTTTGTACGTTTCAGCGATCGCTAATAGACTAGGCTAATAGAACATTTTTTCAGCACTCGCCGTTCTGTTACTCGTCTATTATTTTCTATGCAAAATTGACAAAACATTGTCTTAACCTATTTCATATTTTTTTGATAAATACAGTGTATTCAAAAAAAGTAGAAACCCCAATAGATTGTATTTGATCTTTCATAAAGTAATTCTTTACAATCGAATAAGTCAATCTGTCATTTGTATTTTATGAGTCTTTGCTCTACATCATAGAGTAGGGAGTTTGACTTGAAAGTTTTGTAATTATTATTATTCCATTACATTTTTTGTAAAATGTTAAACATGTGAATGTGAAACTC